CGGGGAATCGGCTTCCGGTTTCACGCAAACTGCGGACTTTAGCAGACTGGCATGACTACTTGTTTTTTTCACTGCACTTTCCCCAGTTGACATTGCATTGCATTGTGAGGGGTTTTCCCATTACATTGTAAACGTAGCCAGGAGACATGCAAATAAATAGCCACTAGATAATTTCTGTTCTGTTTAATACATGCACCTCATTAAACGAACGATAAAACTCGGTCCCAAAAACATAACAATTTTTCTTACACAATCACAGCATATATGTCATTCACAATTTATTTTCACGTTGAGCGAAAACACATCTGTGCCCTTGTTGATTATGATGCAATTGACATTAGCTAAAATTTTCTACACAGTAAACTTGACCTAAGCTCAAACTTACGCTAGCCAAAATATTGCATCACCCAGTCACGTTTTTCGTCACGCAGGTTCGAAGATGACTCTTAGATTTGGCGGGAGAACCTCAGAGTAAACTGACCGAGGGGGTGGAGGGGTGCATTGTTCTTTCTCCCCTCAAGGTGAAATTGGCCCGGGGGGGGGGGGGGGGGTTTCTCCCAAAAAATTTGGGTGGGGGTGTGCCGCTGGGCTATAACAACCCTAATTTTGCGAACCTGTTCCAGACTAAGGGCCTGTTTACATAGCCTGCGAGCGCAGACGTATTTCCGGCGGGGAAACTCGAGCCGGAAATACGTCTGCGCTCGCAGGCTACTGTTTACATGGAGGGTGGGTGACCCGGGTACCCGGGTCACCCTCCCTCCATGTAAACTAAATGTTGAAAAAAGATACGCTATTCCGGACGATTCTTAACGATTTTCTTTCTAACCCAAAAGGCTAAACTTCTAAGCAGCACTGCGAGTTGTAGTTGTAAAGCTTTTTTAACACTCCTACGCGTTTCCTTTCGTCTGACTACTTCATCTACCCTATGCCAGAGTATCAATTACCGATCTTCGTGCCAACTCCTGGGAAACTGATACCCTGATACCCAAAAATGCCTTTTGGTATACCCTGTTCCAGACCAAAATGCTCAAAAACCATACCCTGTCCAGCTGCACGTTCCTATATAGCGAAAATAAGGGAGTCCCCCCCCCCCCCCCCGGAAATCGGCCGCTTGTAATCCCTTCAGGGGTTCTTGTTTTTTTCATGTCGGTAGCCTTAGTCCTCTTCACGGTTGACATGATGTTATCGCATCTCGGTCTAAAATTAGCCAGTAGAGAATTTCTCTTGCACATTCTTTCTGTAGTGTCGTGTAAGTGCGTAGATGTATTTAGTTTATTACAGGAATCGCATTGAAAAAAGCAAAGACAAATGTCCCACAGCAGTGAACAGCAGTGTTGTTGCAAAATGTGCTAAATTTGGCGGTGTGACCTGTGCGCGTTATTCGATCCCAGCGGGGAATCGACTTCCGGTTTCACGCAAACTGCGGACTTTAGCGAGACTGGCGTGACTACTTGTTTTTTTTTCGTAGTCACTGCACATTGCATTGCATTGTCTAAAATTAGCCACTAGAGAATTTCTCTTCCACGAGCTTTCTGGATAATTTCTTCCTACTTTTAGAGAACATTTCGATTTTCGTATCGTGTAAGTGCTCTTTTCATGTCCTTTACAACGAAACAAGCGAAATATTTAACGAGACAGGGGAATATAACATCAGATAACATGTAATAGTCATCTGCTATCAGTTTAAATTCTATCAGTTTTCCCATTACATGGTAAACATGACAGCCCAGTATACGCATGATGTAATAGCTTGTAAGCGTTCATAGCGCGGGCAGAGTTGTAAAAGTGCGTATTATCCTGTATAGCTTTATTAGTGGGTGTTAAGACATCTATTCTTGGTAAAGGTAGGTGTTCAAATGTTTATTTGGCTTTTTATAGTTGACGACATTTGGTTAGATATTACAGTTTCTTCGCAGTGAGTTTAATATTAATATTGCATCACGCAGTCACGTTTTTCGTCACGCAGGTTCGTATGTTGACTCTTCTTTGGGTGGTGCATCTCAGAGTCCAGTGACCGATGCATGGGAGGATAGGTGGATTATTGTTTCCCCCCCTCAAGGTGATATCGGCCGCTTGTTAACTCCTTTAGGAGTTCTTGTTTTCTTTATTCTCATCACCTGTCGTCTTGTCAGACGTTCATAATTGGTGTAGAAACAATATAATAGCAACTTAAAGGATTTCCCCGTTTAATGCTTATTTCTTTCGTTTTCAATACGTCCGGGATTTTGAGGGTCCTAATGGGGGTACTGGATTCTCAGTTACCAGTTAACATTTTGGTCATTTCTCAGTTATCAGTTAAAATTGTAGCCAATTTCTATCAGTTAATTTTCACCGATCTCATTCTCGGCTATCAGTTAAAATGTTAGCCAATTTCTGTCAGTTAATTTTTAGAGATCTCATTTCTCGGCTATCAGTTAAAATGTTAGCAAATTTCTGTCAGTTAATTTTCACAAATCTCATTTCTCGGCTATCAGTTAAAATGTTAGCAAATTTCTGTCAGTTAATTTTCAGAGATCTCATTCTCGGCTATCAGTTAAAATGTTGGCCAATTTTCCGCTATCAGTTAAACCCTATCGGGGCCCTCTATTTTCTATCGTGGACTAATAAAGTTGATTCAGATCCATTTGTAATTATGAAACATGCTTCTCTTCTTTTATCGCGATAGTTTTATCAAGCAGTCGTGTTGGTATTGCCAATGAATACTGTGTGGCATTGAAAAGCAAATTAGGGGGTTCCCCGATTACCAGATACACTTTCTTTCGTTTTCAATAACCTTCAGGCTTCAGCGTTATATTAGCGGCAGTGAAAATAAACTCAGACCTCCTCGTACTCACGGCTGTCAACAATATATACTTCTCGTCTTGTATGTTGTGAAGCATTCGTGTTACAATGAAATTCATAACGCTATAACGCTTATTCAGCAAAATATTTCATTAATTTTAAAGTGGAGAAAAAATGTTTTTGACTGAGGAACACAACATCAGCGGTTTAGTTTTCAAGATAAACTATTGAAAAATAGAAAGAATATTCGATGTCATACTGTAACCCAAAGATGCAGATCTCTGTTGTTGGCAACATAAATATGCAAATTGTATTGCAAGCATTGTCTAAAACGGGGAACCCCCTTATTTTATTTCCTTATTGCGTTTCGTTTTCATTTTTACAGAACATCAACATAGTCTATTGTGTGGTAGTTTTGGCATTACAAAACGTAAAACCGATGAAAGTGTTTTCCATTCAAAAGCAAAAGGGTCGGAAAGCTTTTAGAATAACGTCAATGTCTGGTCTTGTTTCCGTGGTGATCATAACACCCCGAGTTACTTAGGTTTCGTGTGACGATGCAAAAATAATATACAGAAGACATGGAAATCGATCGCAAAATTATTAATACAGTGTGGCAACCGATTCAACTTTGCTTCGAATGTGCCGAAACGTTTCCAATTCAAAGCCTTAGGATTAGACTAAATAAAATTGACTAGATTATACCTTGATTTCTTGTCAAGAAAGCAAGCATATATTTTGTAAATTCAAACGCAAATAGCGCATGCGTATAAGACGCAGTTCTGAGACTGCCCCACATGGAACACAACGCTAACTCTGATCAATGTATATAGGTAAATCAACCTATACTATAAATCGAGGTCCGGACTTGGCGAGGGTTATCTCAAAATGATTCTCCCACCCCTCTCCGCTCATTGACCTCATGTTTTGGTTTGCCGAAGAGGATACCTTGTCCAAAATTAATTTTGACAAAACGTAAGAAATAATAATATTGAAAAACTATTGCGGCATTTTAGCAACCTTCTGCCGGCTAGTAGAGCGAGAATTTTAGTGGACAATTTGAGCATTAGTATTAAAACTTTAGTGACGGGGAAAAGGCTTAATGGGTACAAAAGCCTGCGACCAAACAAACCGAAAACAGGCTTGTTGTTTAAGACATTTGCTCAATCAATCTAACCGTCATAAAGAGGATAGACTTGCCCACAAGTAGAGTTCGGGAATTTGTTTTCCGGGAAGCAAAAAAACAAGCGCGAACCGCGAGAAATCGAGCGCAAAGCACGAAGAGGGGTGTTCGGCTGGTTTCCCTTGCAGTAAGTCGAATGGAGTGACGTCATTTTGGTGCGAATCTCTCAGTGTCTTGTGTTTCTTGTGGGTGGAGATACACTGAACACAGAACAAGGTTATCCCAAGCAGCTCAAGCTCACGTGTTCTTCGATAACGCCGTTTCTGATTGGATAACACCACAGGAGGAAAATTCCAACCTCGTCCCCAGGGCCATCACCGCTTTCAAGATGGCAGGTGGGCGCGAAGAAGAACCTGGGGAAGAGCAGGTCAAGTGTCTCCAAAAATATTGGAGATTTTGATTGTTTCAAAATGGCGGCGGGCTCGCGATTGGCTAATTTTGTGGTCACGTGACCTGCTCTTCGCCAGGGTCTTCTTCGCGCCCACCCGCCATCTTGAAAGCGGAGGTGGCCCTGAGGACGAGGTTGGGAAATTCATCCTGGAAATTTAGCGCGCTGCAAGTGATAAAAGTCCTTTGCACCGAGACCTACTCCCAGACCGGGAACAAGAAAGTCTAGAAGAGGATAATTCTAATAGAACATGATCCTAGAGCCATAGGTTGTACAACAGTAATCCAAGAAGCTGTTAATTGTAAGCTGTTCGATATACTTACATTTACAACTGAATCCGCTTCCTACGTAACCTGGCTTATACTGACAGTTGCATTAACCAATAGAATTGAGGCAGTCCGCGCGTTTGAGTTACATTCATGATCGCCAGTCTCACATTCGTCGGTGTCTGTTTAAAAAAAAATTCAATAAAACATAACAATTATTATAATAATAATAAAAACCGTTACATTATCGATCCACATCATTGCTAATATGTTTTGAATCACATCTCAACTCTTTGTTGTTTAAAAAGTACAAGCTTTCTCTGCAACGTTAGTCAATAAAATGGGGCTTTTTCTTAAAAAAAGAGCTTGGGTTGTAAGCGTTCCTTCGATAGCTCAGTTGGTAGAGCGGAGGACTGTAGAAGTAAGGTTGATATCCTTAGGTCGCTGGTTCGAATCCGGCTCGAAGGAAATACTTTTTTTTAATTTTAATTAACATTAAATTGAACCCTCTTTATTTACACTCTTCCAAAATGTTTTCTTCGTGGCAAATATAGCTAGCTAGCTAGGTAAGTTATGTCTTCTTTTGAAATAAATATTGTATTCATGGCAAATATATATTTGGGTTGCTGGTTCGTACTGGTCTTGAAAGAAATAAACTTTGTTGTTTTTGTTGTTCTTTCTAACTTGGCACCGAGGCTTAGGCCATCCCCATAATTGTTTTTGTTTCCCATCGCCCTCTCTCTCGTGAAAGTGTGTCGGTCGGTCGGTAAAAAAAATAATAATAAAAAGCCGAGAAACGAAATATTGACAACTTATACATAAATAATTCCAAGCGGGCCTTGATTATATCGTCTCCGTGACCAACATTTTGCAAGGAGTCGATATCACTCTGAAAAGTGTTCGAATACGTCATTACTGGGCTGATTTAGATGTCATAGTGACTTTAAGAACGAATGTCGCTAAGGATGGAGCCAAATTGGAAATGGTCAAAATAAAGTTTCCTTCATACTTTGTGTGTAGTTAGTCCTTGGGGTGGAAACATTCACGATGATATTTGTTTCACTTCCTGCACTAACCTAGACTTGGGATCAGGGGGGGAAGTTCATGCCCAAAAATGTATTTTTTGAGGTATTTTTAACCCTGAAAACTGAGATTTTGTTAACTAATTATCTCAAAATGCAAAAGGCTGGTTAAAATTCTGCTGACATCCTGGTATAATATCATCCTTCCGCTCCACAAAACTGGCACCGGATTTTCAGTTTGCCCCCTGGGGGAACCGCCTTTTTAAAAAACTGAAAATGAGACATCTTTGGCTAAAATAAAATCAATAAAGTTGCAAATGAATATTTCGTCCATGGTGAATCTTTTGGTACTGAAAAGTCCGCGGGCACTCAATTATTTTTTGCAGAACAAACAATTTACAATTCATACCCACGACAAAATGTTAATTTTTCGTCATTTTCAATGCCCACTTTCTGGAAGGTAAATAATGCTATTTGTAGCAACTTACCACTACACTGTTTCTCTATCATCAATAAATTGAAAATATTTCACTTTTACAGCTTACATGTAAGCAACTTCAGAAAAAAAAAATGTTTTGAGTAGCACATCCACTGGTGAAACTGGTAATTTATGCAAATAATAACACTCAAGTTTCCGGCCAAAAAAATATAAAACTGAGTTGTGTAGTCAATTAAACCACATAAATAAAACTTATAATAAACAATTGATGTAATGCATACCATTTATTAAGTAGTAACTTCAAGAACCACTGATCTCAGAGGCAACGAGGAATCACGCCGAATATTATATAAATTCGTCGGTGCTTTCGTTATGTGCCACCGTGTTGAAACTTAGTTCTCATCCGTCGGAACAGCCCCAAATGGTTTCCTTTTCACTGGAAATATATTATCTGGAAAAATACATTTTTGGGCATGAACTTCCCCCCTGAACCCAAGTCTAGGTTAGTGCAGGAAGTGAAACAAATATCATCACGAATGTTTCCACCCCAAAGACTAACTACACACAAAGTATGAAGGAAACTTTATTTTGACCATTTCCAATTTGGCTCCATCCTTAGCGACATTCGTTCTTAAGATGTAAATAAAGCATATTAAACTTGGAAACACCCGAGAAAAGGGCGCAGGCAATGAATGGGAAACTTTTTTTACTTTTTGAAAAAATTGGGTCGGTCGGGCGATGGGAAGCAAAGCAATTTATGGTGATGGCCTTATTGCTGCAAAGTTTACACAGGAAATGGTTATTTAATGGCATTTGTGAAACTGCGTGGTGGAATATTTTTCCGAAAATGTAGAAAGTTGCTCTTCGAATGTGCATGAATCCACTAGACAGAAGGTGCCTCTAAACGCGATTTTTATCTTCTTGGCGAATTTATTGCTCAAAGTTGGGTTATTTTTGTGAATTGTCACGTGTGAGTAGAAATGTTGTGCAAAGTTTGTGTCACACAGACTATCATCAAATCCAATTGTATTGATATCTTCTGAGAGCTGCTGTTTTCCAAGAAATCATAGCACCCATATAACTGGCAAAATATAACCCATGGATCTGTTCATCTGGATCTGTCATGGATTTATGCTTATCACCCAAATCATTTTATAATTCGTGAACTTTCATTCAATTGCACAGAATCGACACAGGACACTTCTTCTTCATGAAATAATTTACCTCCAGAATACAGAATATCACTTAAAGGATAATTTGTCTTTGTTTTGACCGAAAAATATGGCTACCACGAACACAAAAGTGGCGTTGGAAACAGGTTTATAGTAAACTGTCACCGAACAGCCGCCATCTTGAACAATATCGTATGGTTTGAGCCCGCAGCATTACGTAAAACGGTTATTTGCGTTAATTTATTTATTTAAGTCATTCCGCATATATTATATTCCGCATAATTATGCCGTTCCGCAAGTCATGCCACATACCATTCCGCAAACTCATTCCGCCTTTTACCCTCACCGATCTAAAGCCTGGTTTCCATATGATCGCAACGATCGCAGTCGCAACGATCGCAGCGATCGTTGCGATCGTTGCGATCGTTGCGATCGTTGCGATCATATATGGAAACTACTCTTGCGATCGTTGCGATTGCTGCGATCATATGGAAACCACTCTTGCGAACGTTGCGATCGTTGCGATCATATGGAAACCAGGTTTAAAGGTCAAATGCAACAACATTTTAGTAAGATTAGTTTTAAGTCGAAATAATAGGGATTAGTATATACCACTCGGCGACCTTGGCGTTTTAAGCAATCTGATTGGTCCGCTATCTCGGGATATTCAACACTATCCACCTCCTAGGAGGTGAATAGTGCCGGTAATTCTGGGAAACCTTTTGGCAGATAATTTATTGAGAAGAAAAATTAAAATGGCCGGCCTAAATTATCGTTCGACTTATGTTTCAGAAGTAGAAACCTTGAAATTGTACATCGGAAAATACACGAAGGCTACAAAGTTTGTTCTAAAACATTTCCAAGGTAAATAAGCTATATTTATTTCGATTCTAGTTACGTAGAAAGCATGTTCACAAACTGTTAGGTAGTAAACGTTTATTAAATACGTCGCGCTACTCGTGGATTGCAAATCTTGTACATCTCTATTCACATAAAACGAGCATCAAACAATGAAAGAAGAAGAACAATTAGTGCACCTTTGAGGACTGGTCGACTGGAAGGTCAGTTTTAAAGCTGTTCGTAGAAATTAAATAAATGTCGTACTCTTGAGTCGAACTCCTGAAGTGCTCTTTGCTCCCTGTCTGTTGTAAATATCCACTCCTGCATTAACTGCCATTCACAATAAAATTGCTGGTGCTAGCCAGGCAGCTAATCCTATCCTTGAGCAATGAATTTCGGTTGGAGAAAACTTCAATTTGTCTTCTCAATCCAGCACTACACATTGGAATTCTGGCGACTCGTTCATTTGCACCTTCATTACTTTCCACTTGAAGTGAAGCCTTTAACGAAACTGTCGAACTGCCCACAGGTTTGTTTCAAAGTTTTGACAGCATTATCAAGCAATTATCTCTCAGCAATTCATCGCAAACTGATTAAATGAACTGTAAGTACTCCGAGCAACGATCCGAGAGTCAACACATGTGCATGAGTATCTTGAATTTGCATAAATTGAAATGGCCTGATGCGAGTTCACTCATGCATGGCGATTGTCATGCAATGAGCGTCACACTCTTGCTTTTTTTTAAACAAAACTTTGACACTTTTTTCCGTGAGTTAGGATGGAGGTCGCCTCGTTGGTGTATACTAAAACAATCATTCGCCTCAGGCTCAGTAAATATTGGTGAATATTTACCTCGACTTCGTCTCGGTAAATATTCACCAATATTCACTTCGCCTTCGGCGAATAATTGTTAAATATTATGAATAATCATATTCTTAAGTTTGAAACGATTTGGACAAAACGTCGTCGATATATTCGACTTTGAAAACTGCCTTTTTTTTGCTTCCACAAACGGAAGCGTTCGGGCAAACTTTGGAAAATTATCGGAAATGGGAAGCTCACCACATATGACGTCACATACACGCGCGAGTCCGCGAGAAGAGCGATAATTACAAAATTCTGCAGTTTCAAAACATCAACAAGTATGGTGTTTTGTGCGGCTTTTAACTGTAGCAACTGTTCAAAAACGTCACTTAAAAAGTGAATTCACATTCCTATAAACTATTTCGCTGAATTCGGAGGGACAGAGTTCAAGTCCAGATAGAGAAAGGAAAATTCACCGTCGTGTGTTCACGTTCTCCATAATACCATGAATTTAATCATTTGACGTTGTTGTTTTGCAGAGGACGGCAAAGAAATGTACTAAAATGCAAAACGCACGTGCGGAGCAATTGTACTACTATTAAATATATTGTTTTGTGACGTTCTCGTTTCCGTCCCCGTCGTGGTTGTTTAAGGTCCCTAATCAGGCGTAAGCTTTTTTACATTCCCTAACGCCGACGAGAAGAGATGCAAGGAATGGATGAGATTAATTAATTTGTTGTATTTGAGCATTTTCAAAGGAGATGTGAAGGTCTTCATCCATTTTCGTCAATACCGGCTATGGAATAATCTCCGAACAAACAGAACACCAGAACACTTGACCCAAGCGAATTACAAGCTTCAAACACGCGCGAAAACACGAGCGAAAACACGCGTGAAAATAAGCTCACCACATATGACGTCACAAAAAACATACATTCGTTTCCATTCCAAGCGCGGTCATTTCTGGTTCGTTTTCGTTCAGCTGTCGGAAATTCTCGGAAATTGTCCAATTTTGTGCCTTTTAAGCGCCACAAACCAGCTTTTTAGGGTTGAGTATGATTGATGCGCAGTATAAAGCACAGTTTTCGCGACAAAAGAAAAAAACACCAAATTTCGTTGCATTTGACCTTTAAAAATGAATTAACGTTCCTATAAACTATTTCGCGATTATTCCAACACGTTCAATTTGT